CGAGTAGAGGGACATTTTGTTTTCCGACGAATCAAGATTCGAATTGAGCACCGGTGATGCGCGAATTTTAGTTCGTCGGAGCCGTGGTGATCGTCTACTCGAGCAGTGTGTGCAAGAACGCCCTATCCACCGACAACCGAGCATTATGGTATGGGGTGCGATTACATATGGTGGACGTACACGTCTGCTGCGTGTATAGCAGACCATGACGGGTCAACGATACGTAGATGAGGTGCTACGGTCCGTTGTGCTTCCCTACGTTCGGCGGCTCCCAGGTCTGCTATACATGCACGACAACGTACGACAGCACATCGGGCGTGTTGTATAGACCTTTGTGGAAGAGCACCGTATACGAATGCTTCCATTGCTAGCTCGGTTTCCGCATCTGAATCCGATTGAACATGTTTGGGACATGACTGGTCGGAGACTTCTACGTTATCCGGCTTCCTCGGCTAACGTTGAGGAGCTATGGAGGCGAGTTGAGGTGGCATAGTTGGCCATCCCTCTCGCTACAATATAGCGACTTATAGACTCCATGCCACGTCGTGTAGAGATAGTACGCGAAGCTCACGGGGATACTCTCGCTATTGATGTTTCTCCTCCCAGCAGAGTTGTGCCGTTCTTCCATACCAAATTTTATTGCGCTAGACACACGCGTTCAGATTATACAGGGTGTGCTCGTGAATTATTTCCAACAGTGTATAATAACTGTGCGTTGAGTCTTGATCATCCCGCGATGAGTATAGTTGTATATATAATCGTTAATTTTAGTGTTTAGTATTATCATATAAATATTAGATCAATCGAAATTTGATAGTATTTTACAACGTAACTTGCTCTATTTTGGTTAATATGCCTGTCTATACATTAAGTTTTTCAGAATACTAACTGTGTCCATTTACTGTCAGATGTGAGTTCTCACTCTTCTAATATCTTTAATAGTTTGAGTGCGATTAAAACCACTGTAATCATAGTAACTATCCCCTAGACAGTTTATCAGAAGAATGATAAAAGTAGGCCTAAGCCAGATATTTTTTACAAATACATAGTTAAATTGTTATTAATAATTGGGCATTTCTTCACAAAACTTTAAAATCGTTCTGCAAAATCGTCTTACCTTAGTTCTTTCGATGTATTTTCAATTCATAAGGATGAAATTTATGAAGTTAAATAATTTTATGAATAGAACCCAGGGAAATTCCAGTTGCACCAGAAATCTGACATTATAAAGTGTTAGGATTTATGCCAAAAAGACCCAAGACTTCCACTTGAGCGGCTTCATTTAAAATTCTCGGCTGATTATATTTGACATTTGTAATAGATTTAGACTTGAGTAAATGTATGAAAGAGATTCAGACATATCTATACCTTTCAATAAATATTAAGGCAGTTTTCTTGCAAATTATAAAAAAAAGATCTTTCAAGAAATGAATTTTATAGCGAATTTTGAAAATTATCGATGAAAATTGCAACATCGAAAATTTTATCAAAACTTCAAATATTGTTTTCTCAAAAACTAAAAGTTATTTTTCAAAACGNGACTTAAAGAGAGGAACATGTTGTTACCCGGAACAAAAATTACAGCGTACAGAAAAAGAGATGAGGAATTTCTGAAATATTTTTCTAGTGAAAATTCCTTAGTTTATTGTAATGATATAGAAGGACTTATCAATACATATCAAGTAGGTGTGTATAAGTCCGATGACTGGCGGCTCTTTATAGATTCCTCTAAAGAAAGCCTTAAAGCAGTGTTGCTCCATAACGGCAATAAATACGCAGCAATCCCTATTGGTCATTCCACCAGGCGAAAAGAATCATACGAAGACCTTCAATTTGTACTCGAAAAAATCAACTACAACATCCATAACTAGTTTATATGTGGTGACTTTAAAATGATCAATATTTTGGTTGGTTTACAATCAGGAAATACAAAAAATCCTTGCTTTCTCTGCATTTGGGACAGTCGCGCCCGAGAACAACATTGGATTAAAAAAAAGTGGCCTGAAAGATTTGATTGGAAAGTTGGTTCCAACAATGTTGTTTACAAGAGTCTTGTTGACACAAAGCGTATTTTGTTACCTCCACTCCACATCAAATTAGGCTTGATGAAACAATTCGTAAAAGCCTTAAATACTGATGGAAACTGTTTTAAATATCTTAAGTCTGCATTTGCAAATTTAAGTCATGCTAAAGTTAAGGTATCTTCGTGGAGCCTGATATAAGAAACTTAATGAAAGATGACGATTTTATAAGAACAATGACAGATAGCGAAAAAAATGTTTGGTTAAGTTACAAAGAAGTTGTACAAAATTTCTTGGAACTGGAAGAACTGGATTTTATACGAATTTTTAAAACTTAATCGGCGAAAATTGCAAATTCGAAAAAATTGTAGATTATTTCAAAAATTTATTTCTCAAGAACCGAAAGTGATTTTTCAAAAAGGCTTTTCACATTAAAAAGAGACTTTTATTAATAATCGAAAGTGATAACAGTTCTGTTAGTAATGAATGTGATGATGAATTACAAGTGAAGAGAAGAAAACTAGACGAAACTGCAACAAGAAATTTTATGTAATGTATTGGGATTGTTGCAATGAGGTTGCTAATGACAA